CATAAAAATATAGAAATGAATTAAATTAAGTTATTAAAAAGTCATTTCTTCCTTGTCTCAATTTATAAAATAAATAATAACCGCAGAAGAAAACTTTTTTCTTTTGATTTTATTAATAGCAATTTATTTTTATGACCTCCACACTGAAAGTTTTCTCAGTCTAAAGTAAGAAAAGTAAGGAAAAAATCAAAAATAGTTTTCAAAACTATTTAAAAATCCATAGGGTAGATAAGGATAATTTATTTGAAATTATGGATTGATGACTGTGAAAAAAATAATTCAAAGTAGAATATAAATATTGAGACACACAATTACAATAATATTTAAAACAATTAAAGGTTATTGGTTAAAATATATACGAATTTTTTAAAAAAAATTAAAAAAGGAACATAAATTTATCCCCGCTTTTTATATACAGACAAATTAAAAACATATTACCTTTTTTATTATTAATTAAGCTTAATTTCAATTTCACTATAAAACAATAATTGGATTTTAAAAAACATGTAGGAATTAATGTTTTTTGTTTTCAAAATTAATTTTAAGTATGGCGTATAGATAACTAACATAATCAACGCTAATTGTAGGGTATATGCACAGTCCATGCACGCAATTCAGATAAAATAAAATTCAAAATAAAAAGGTTTAAAGCATAAACTGAGCAAGAGAGTAACTAAATTGCATTTCCGCCAAGCTGATATGATTAATAAGCGAACTATAAAGGCACAATAGAATGAATATTTAAAATAACGATCGCTTCACAGCCGTGCTCACTCACCTCACTGCAGTCAGTACCAAGCAGTAGTGGCTCGTAGTTTCAATACTAAAACTAAAGAAAAATAAAAACGTTGGAGAGTCTATCTCTTTGCAGAATAGTATCTGTAACTTCGAATAAAAAGTTCGTTAAACCAACAATCGATTCTATTCGTTTTCGTAGCAGAACAAGTTTATTTTATGTTTTACTGCTGTTAGTTTTTATTTTTTATTGTACGTTTTTTTTTTTTTGTTATTATAAAAACAGCTGCAGTGGATGTAGTAAACTCAACGCCGACGATTTTATCAGTTTTTTAGTTTTTTTTTAGAAAAGTAAAACCCTAAGATTTCACATATACTTTTTACACTAATTTATGTGCATACCTGTATGTACATATATGTATGTACATAAATGTTTTTAGTGTATAATACTAAGAAATTTGTTTGGCATCATTTAAAAAATACAACTCTGAAATTTATTGCACAAACTCTTATAATAAATTAAAAAAATTTTTTTTAATTAAATTAACATATTAAATAATTAAAAAAGAAAACAAACTTTTATACTTAAAAGGTACTTAACACATAAATAAAACGTTGAGATTTCGGTTGCAAAAAATTTCACTAACTTGCGTTGAATAATTTTAAATTTTCTCTTGCATTTATTTTTATGGTTCTTAATATAAAAGTTTGCAAATATTTTATTTTAAAAATTACAACATTCTGTTTAAATTTCGTTTTTGTAGAGAAAAAAAAAACAAATCTTAGTATATACGAATTAAAATTAATTTAGTTCATACACATGATCGTTTTCATCGTAAAACTGTATATTTTATTGCCAGCTTAAACTTTCGTGTAATAAAATACTATTAATAAAAGGTTAAAAAAGAAATCTGATAATTTATTGCCGTTAAATGTTAAATTTATATACATATATATGCATATATACTTTTTTCTTTTATATCTATTTAGCATATTTTGGTAGAAGATTTCATAACGTTATTTACTGTTGATATTAAATTATTTTAGAAAAAAGTGTGAAAACACAACGCAATTGACAGCGAATGTCGATAGAAAAGATCGACTTTTAGATTGTTTGATGTTCTACGAGTAAGAATTCATAGACTTACTTCTTTAATTGTTTAAAACGAATATATAAGTATAAGTAAAAGTTTATTTTTTTCAAAACTGTTCACTTCATTTTTTTGCCAGTTTTAAAACCAAACATAACAAATTGGTTACTCATAAAAAGTTCTTTTTTTTCTTATTTATATTCTACAAAATATATAAATATGATATGGCATAATATTTTTATTAGTGTTCACTGCTTTACAGAGGAATAAATTCAAATCATCAGATATAAAATGTGCACTAAAAAATATTTATATATAATGATCATTCCAAAAACTGAAATCTGGCTTCTTCATCACAAAATGAAATGAAGCCTATGCCAGAAATTTACTCAAAAGATGTAGTCTAGTACTTTTTTTTCCGATAGAAGGTCGATTACCACATCTGAATCAATTGCAATATCGTATTAAATCAAAATCCTAACAAGTGCAATCCGTCTTTTATGGCCAATTATATTTCATATATTTCCTGATGTAGTTTCTATGCATTTGTATGACAGAATCTTAACTGTTGTGATTGGTAGAATAGCTACTATATTGCTAAAAAAAAAAAAAAGGTGCTATCTTGAAAAATTTAGTAGATGCAGTACTCTTACATATAGAGGGTAACTGCTAGAGTGAAAAATACACACAGCATTTCCATTTAATTCGGAGAGGGCTTAAGTTGCTACGTACCTATAATACAATGCAATATCAAAGAAATTTGATATAAATTTAATGATAATATTAATTACAAACATATTTTAAAATAATATAACTAAAAGGCGTATATATAAAAATTCTTGAAGTGGTTTAAATTGAATCTATAAAAGTCACTTAAGATCCAAATTACATAAAGCTTTAAACTTGATTTTTAATTAATGTAGAAATGCAAAATAAACAAAATTTTCTTTCTTAAGGTTTTTTTTTAAACTTATGTTTGGTTATATTTTTAATGTTCCTCTAACATATATATATAAGTTATATATACAAGTATCTACCAGATTGATATATCATTATTAATTTATATATTTTTTCTTTTTATTTTATGCATAAAAATTATTAAAGTAGATATTAGATTATGATTTCTGGAGCTCCGCATTTTGAACAATATTTTCCACTTTGCTATACATATGAATACCGTTACATATTATAGTAATATATAGCTTTAAAATTAAACAGTTTTTATATTAATGACACAAACAATAACTAAACGCGCTAAAATATAAAACTATTACGTTAATTGCACAAACAACGATTAACTAGTTGTTTTGTTTGCAGTGCCTGAAATCCAACTGTAAAACCCGATATCTCAAGAACCCCTCTATATCCAAATAAAGCGCAGTGGAATAAACCACTCAGAAAAACGAACTTTGCCATTCTTTATCATCAACAACAGAGAACATTTAAACTAAATAAAATCGTCATTGTGAAAAATTTACTTAAATTTTGTTTAGCTTATTCAGGTATAACATTATATATTATATACACATATATCTTTATAATATATAAATACAATATCCATATATATATCCATAGCAATATATGGTAAATGATAACTAATTTATATTCAGTACATTTTATGACTTCGGACTGGTGAAATCAGTGGTTCTTCGTAGTCTTCGTAGTCTTTTCCCATCTGAATTTGGCGTTATTCGCTAAAGCAAAAATTCTAAAACACCAATAATATCAAAATAAAAACTATAAGTTTAAAGACTATTTTTTTGATTTTTATTTTTTTCGTTTTTTTTTTAAGTTTTGAATTTTGATTATATATAATATATGATTTAATAATTCTAAAATACATAAATGAGAACATTTTGGATCTAAAAAGCGAAACCAATCGAAACAATAATTCAAATTACACCTCATTACTGTCCATAATACTACAGCTTGAATGTTTAACTTTTAAGTTAGTAATTAGTCTCGCATTACATACGAATATATGTAATATATTTATTAGTAAAATATTAAACATTTTTACTGCGGCTATAAATATATAAGTATGACGGTTTTGTCGTAACTTTTTAAAAAATTATACATTATATTCTTTCATACTTTTTTTTGAGACCAAAAATATTATATAATAATTTATGGGTGGGCTAATTGTTCATTTAAATAAAATA